AAAAAAAAAAAAAAGAACTAAAAGCGAACACGGTCTATGCGGGTAAGCGACGTAGAGGCGCGTAAACCTTTCGCGCGCGGTCGTCCTTCCTCGAGAGCTCGGCTCTCCTTTTACGGCGTGGAAGGTCGAAACGGAAAAAAGCGGTTCGTGGAAGGCGTCTATGCCCGATCCTCGGCCGACTGCCGGGATAGTCGGCCACTTTGTCGGCGAGTTTATTATTCGTAACGGAGAATTCGAAAGAGGATCGACTGGATTATCGTGAACGCCCTCCAATTCCCTCCGATTCCCTCCGATTCTCTCCCGTTTCCCGCCGTTTCCCTCCGGCCGCCGCGCAGCTCCACCTTCCTTCTTCCCTACGGCGCTCGTCTCCGCGCTCCCATATTCATTCCCCTTTCGTCCTCCATCTGTCTTTTCCCCTTTACCGGCGTTCACCGATTTCGCCGTTGCTGTCGACGCTGTCGCAACAACAACAACCGCGCTCGGGTCGTAACGATGAGCGGCGGCCGGATCGATTCGAAACCGCTCCGACGAACCATCGAATCGAAAGGCACGCGCATGACCTTTCCCAATCGCCTCGGCGTTTCGATTTTTCATTCGCGGCCAGAGCTCTCGATCAACGCGCCGCGCGTTTCTCTCTCACGTTTGGACCACTCCGACTCTCCCGGAACCCGGTTAATTCCATCCAGAGAGCAGCCGAAAGGGGGAAAAACGTACACGGCCGTAATTTACGAGTGGAGCAACCGCGAGCTTTGCATTCCGCATTCAGGGCCGTTCCATCGAGCGACGAGCTCGTCCAAACAACCAACAGCGTCACTGGTTAACCCTTGAAACGGACGTACCGTTTCGATCGAATCCATCGTCCTCCCTCGATCCTTCGTACCTCGCGTGGAAACATAAACAAGATTTTCCTAGTCCTGGGACAGCGGAGGTAGGATCACCGAGTTACTCCTACACACCCTCAGACGAAAATCATCGTTCCTTTATGTATGCTTTGGAACGGCTCCCTGGCTCTTCTGTATTCTTCTTCCACGTCTTTTGGGTGTCACGAAATCGGACATGGCACGGCCATTGAAACTCGAGATCCTCGCGAGACCGTCTATTCAAAGCGCGCAACGTTCCGTGCCACGTTTCGACTCTCTCTCTCTCTCTCTCTCTCTGTTTCTTTCCATCCCTCCCTTTCGATAAGGTCGAAACGTCTTTTAAAAAGAAGCAGGGACCGAGAATCTCGATCCTTGGATCGAAAAAAAGAGCGTCCTTTTCTGCGCACGGTATTCAACTTAGTTGTCCGGACGTTCGCCGCGAGGGAGACCGGTTGCCTACCTGCGGCCGGATAAGCTCCTTTCGACCGATCATTCGGCCACACCACGAAAATTGGTACTGCTTTCGCGTTTCTACCGTGATCGATCGTGGAAACGAATTTCTCAGACGCGACACGATCCGAACGGAGAGAAGGAAAGAGAGAGAGGCGGATAGAGAAGAGAGTTCGTTTTCATTCGTTTCCCTTGGAGAACGACGATCGGTCCAACATCCGAGCGAGCACGTTGACGCACGGGGAAACTCCTCTTCCTTCTTTGTCGGTCGTCCTTTTGCGCACCGTTGCTCGTCGACGTCGGCGTATATAGCGTATACCATGTTTTCGAGCCGCGGAGAAACTTCCCCGCAACGGCGAGATAAATATAACTCGCGCGAATTCTCGAAGCGAACGGCCGCGAATCGTGCGGAGTTTCGTCGCGTCGCGTTTTAATTACCAAGTAGCACCGAGTTCGTATGTACGAGCGTGATCCGATAATTGTAAAATTTATTAAAATGAGAATAGAGATCTTAGGCACAGCAAGGCATTATTTTCCAATATAGTCCTCCATCTTTGTACAAGTACTTTTATTTAAGTAGCAAGCCACGCATGCTTCCTTTAATTCCTTGGTATCAATTTTGAACTTATCAGTCCACTTACGCACACTACATTGAGGAAGAACACTGTACTGAAAGTTTCCAACAGACCTCTCCAGATCATAAAACCCGAATACCAGCATGCAGCTCTTTTTGATGCGTAAAATGGTCCTCCGTCATGATAACCAAAAAAAAAATAAAAATAAAAATAAAAAGACCAGATTTTGCTTGTTGAAACCCGTGCAACTATGATAAGTAAGAATCGAGAAACGCTGATGCATAAGTAGACTCAAGATTGCAGACAGTATAAAAAAAACAAAAATTTCGATAAATTATTATTGAATCATTCTCGTACGTACGTATGTACGTGCCATGTTGGTTTAGTCACCCTCGAGCGTGGTCCTTCGCA